ACCCAAAAACACCCTTTAGGGGGCTGTTTTCATAACTTTTAATAGGGAACGAACCTACACTTGGAAGAGGCTGTATAGAATCCAATTTTAGGCAAGGAACCAATATTCAATCACTCTTGGACAAAGGTTTGGTTGCTGGATTGATAGAGCGCAGTTTGGAGCTTAATCGAGGTGAGGATGACCGACTATATCGTTTATAATTAGTGAGTTGATTTCATGAGATTACCTAAAGTATTTAATCATAATTTTTATGGATTACTAATGACTAAAAATACCAAGAATGAAATGACTTGGTCCTATAAAGAAATGGAGCATGATATACATAATTAGAAGTAATTATGTATGATTATGTGTAATATGTATTATGGCATGCTAGTTGGATAACTATGAAGCTTGTTGATAAAATATACTTTTTTCCTCATATAATGGAGAATGTATGAAGGACCAAGGGGATATTTTGTTTATTGTGATAAATTATATTTTTATAGGAAAGTCACTTTGAATTGGCTAAATGACCATGAATGGAGGACTTGATTTGTTCTAAGATTAATCCGACTAGTATTAAAATACTAGTCAGGAAATTAATATGTGAATATGCTAGAATTGGTCCTAAGGATGGATTGTGTTACGGCTTAAAGTAGTCTTAAGAGACATTTTAATTAAAGTAACTTAATTAACGAAGTAGAGTTGTACGAACTCTAAATGACACTAAGGGTAGGCCCTAAAGGCTACTCTAGATAACCTTATTTGTGAATTGATCCTAGGTATAGGATTGGCCTACGGGTGTTTTCGGTAGTCCGTGAGGATAGCCGAGTAGATTGTAGAAAGGAGTAAGGACCATGGCCCTCCCCAACTCTAGGAGCGGGGTTGGATAGCATGGACTTACAGTGTGATCACGTGTAGGAGTGGAATCCGAATCGGATTTTTTACGAGACTCCCGACTGCGGTAACACATAAGATAGGACCCCGAATGGGCCTTACCTTCCTACGGGAACAGGGTATGAGTTCAGGGGCGGGATGTTGGACTCCGACCGAGTGTCTTACGGGACTTGGGTGGCGGAGACAAGTCTTGTATGATTGATGTGACCTTTGGGTTGAGATGTATGTATTATAAATGTAATAAGTTATCGCGTGGCGATGGAAAGGGTTTGTGGAAAATACAAATGGACCAATGGGTCAACTATTTTACTTTATATACTTATGTATGATTTAAAGGGGTAACTATGGGTTATTTCCTATAAATATGATATCACTTTATGTTGAGGGTCTTAAGGATCGAAACATTAATTATGTTCAGTATAGTTGTCATTGTACTTTTCAAATGCTTCAAAGTACTGACCTCCCCTTCACGGATGAGGCCAGCTCACAGTTTTCAGGTAGAAGCTAGAGCTTGCTTCCTGTACCCGTTGCTTCGGGAGTTCTTGGAGAGAAGACGTGGTTCGTGCTTCCTCCGTTCTATTTTCAAAATGGTTACAATAATGCTCATGGATAATATTTCTAATAAACTACTTGAGGGCTTGTATGCCTAAGTTTGCCAAGTGTGGCTTTAATACTTGTAATATTGTTTCCGCTGCTTTAATGAATACTTTACATTATGTTTGTTTATGGTTGTACTATGTGTGAATGATATTCCAGACGCCTTGTATAGTATGGATGTGTTAGGCTGCGGCTGACTATTCGTACTGTCCGACGGGTTGTTGACGTGTCCGGACAGGTCCGGGGCGTGACAAGAGATGACGAGTCGGGTTGCATGAACGTAATCGAAATCCTGCAAAAACTCTAAATACTGTCGTGTTTATGGTTTTAGTAATATCGTCGACATGAATATTTATGATTTATGTCAATGTCGTTCGTATTGTCTCCTTATGTTTTGGAGCTTGTGTTGTCATGCTCTTGGAGCATATGTTGTTGTTGTTGTGTATTTATGTAGTTTTGGCCAAAATGTATAAGGCTCTCGGACCCGTATCTCATATTTCTCTTATGAAGGACCCGAGCTTGCCTCATTGCCCCTGTAGATGTGAATGGGGGAGTGTTTGTGAATGTTTGTATTTGATTCTGTTGATTTGTCTCGTTGGTATCCTGCATTTTTAAACATCACCATGGAATTTGGCCGTTGGCTTTTGGCCAACAGCCCTCCGATGCTTAAGTTAGAATTCAGTAATCGGCAATATCCATGATATTATAAATAGCAATCTAATGAGATTTTATCTAAGGAAATTAGTTTTCCAAATCAATCATTATTGCTAAAATACCATTGAGGATTTAAAGCATGGTTAACTGAGGAATTAAATAAATTTAATTTATTCGAACATCATTGAGAGCATTAAGTTTAATTTATTTGAACAAATTTAAATTAGAAAAAATGTTAGTAATAAAATTTCACGCGGAAAGAATACTCGTGACATTAAGTCGTTGTTTTTAATAAGGTAAAATTTAGTATAGTACTTTATTTACCAAGGTGGGTAAAACATTAATGAGATGATAACAAAATAATTTACTGCTAGGCAACTTAAGAGCGAATTGCCTGTTCCGTGTTTAATAGTTACATGCACCAACTTATCAGGTTCAACCGGTTTGCTGTTGTCGGTCAGCATATGGTGAAAAACTAATTTGGCCGTTGGCTTGAGGCCTACGGCCCTCCGACAGTCAAGTTAGTAATGGAAATAAGCGAAATATTTGTTGATTATATTTATGAGTAATTAAATTAGAAATGAAAGGGTTTTAAGTGTACCGCATTCCAACTTCTTGGTACTTGTTTACCGTCGATGGTCTTTAGTCGGTATGAACTTCAATCATATTGTCAAATCTACCTCGTCACAGAAGTGACAACTCGTTCTTCGGGTCTCAAATAAGGTTTTCCATGCTTGTGGTCGTGCTTCTTGGGAGATTCTGATTTCCCGTGCCCCCCTTCCTGCTCAATCTGTCCGTGACGGGCTCATAAGTCTTCTTCTAGACGGATGAAAGCCAGTGTCTTTGCTTGAACATCTTCGAAGGACCGACTAGGGTATTTCGTCAGCTCCCGATATAACTCTGAATCCTCCAGCAATCCCCTTGTGAATGCTTCAATTGTCGTCGGTATGTAACACTTGGGGATTGACACCTTCTCCTTGTTGAAGCGATGCAAGTAATCCCGCAAAGATTCGTTTCGCCTCTGAACCGCCCGATAAAGATCATTGGTCTGCTTCTCCAAGACTCGGCTGCTTGCAAACTGTTGATTGAATGAGTTGACCAGCTCTGCAAACAAATTGATGCCTTCATTCGGCAGATTAACGAACCATGTCAATGCCGGTCCCGTCAATGTCATCCCAAATGCCCTGCACATGCAAGTTTCTCGCTGATCCGGTCTGACCAAAATGGCTAACATTTGTTGCTTGTAGTGGGAGACATGTTCCACTGGATCAGAAGTCCCATCAAACAGTCTCATCCAGGGGGAGGCGAACTTCCTCGGAATCTCAACATCACTGATATGTCGTCCGAAAGGCGAGTCCGCATTGCACGTTTGTGAGGCAACATCTAGCGGTGGAGGGACTCCAGGTATGACGTTGATCTTTTCCCGCATCTCTCTCAGCTCTTCCATGAGGATGACCATGGTGTCAACCATCCTTGCTTGTACTTGTCTCGCCGTCGACGTCTGTGGAGTCATTACTCGGGGCTTCTTCTGGTCTGGATGGCGAGGGTATGACGATGACCTCAGGCTCCTGTCGTCTCTGGTTGTTGATGTAGACATGTTTGGGAATGTCGGCATGATTCGAAACATGTCGTCTCAGGGGCTCTGCAAACAGATTACGGAATATGTTCCTTTTGGGATTTGGGGGTGGAATGGAATGAGTCGAGGGCCCTGCTTCTCCAAACGCGCCGGCTCCACAATGAGGGACGAAAGGCTCCATAGGAGCCGACGTGGTGGTCGAAGTTGGCATCTTTTGATTGATTGTATGCAAACCAGACGTCACCGTTCTGGGCCGCAATGAATCTGGGAAGAAGCGCATCGGGATGCTCGTGGCTGGGGTTGAAGACGGGACTGAATCCATGTCCAACCTTGTCGCCATGGTTATGATATCCTTTCCCCGTCGTGAACTAGAGGCTATGGATGCCACCGATTGTACTTGAGATCGTGGAGCGTCGTTTTCTCGCTGGAGGAGGGTGATCCGCTGCCGCATTTTCTCCCTGACAGCTTCTAGTTGCGCTTGAACCTCCGCTGCCGAATGATTAGAATTTCCGGCCATGCGTATTTCTTCCCTGAGAGCTTCTAGTTGTGCTTGAATTTCTGTCACCAAAGAATTAGAACTTTCGGCCATGATTGATTCTTCTTTTGCAAGATTTTCCCACAGACGGCGCCAAATTGTTTATACCAAAATAAACTAGTCTAAGTATGAAATTTACTTGGGAATCGAGCAAAATAAGAATCGAAGATGAATTTTTGATCGGAAAATAATTATTATTATGATTGAATAAACGAATGAATAAACTTTTCTTGATAGACTGTGTTGATATGCGTGAATACAAAGTGGTGAATCACCACTGATCGTGTCTCTACTGGATATTAGCTACTGGTATTTATTCTAATTATTCTCCTTATGGCCGCACCCACTATCTGAGAGAATAGGGACTTCATCCCCAAGTTTAGCAATGATCCACCTATTTTTCCTCCACGTGCAATCACCTCCTTTGACTTGCTCTTGGACTCTTCATTTATCTTTATCCAATACGCTTGTTGCTACCTTCTGGACTGATTCACACATTTATCAACCAGTGGCCCAATTTCTAATTAAAATTCTTGGGTCCAACACTATTTTTTATTTATAAATGGCAAACCAATATTCTTACTGCAAAAGCAATCTCATACAAACAAACATTAGATTGTGAAACAGATAGTCTTCCAAGACTTCAACCACTAAAAGGAAGCTGTTTTTTCTACAAATAAACAAAAACAAATCTTGATTTGGAAAAGAGCCTACTTAGGCAATGGATCAGTCTCCATTTTCCTCAAAAGAATAAACAGCCTTTGATCAAGCTTAAATTTGTGCATGTTCTTGGGCGCACTGCAGAGCTTCAGTTGAAGTCCTTCAGAAGAAATATACACCACCACTTTAGAAGATTCCTCTGCAACCTTATAGAGTAGCCCATGCATGATATACTCGAACTTGTCTGCCAGTGATTTCATCTGGCCCTGAGGGTGGTTTGTTGACCCATCTAAAGCAAGTGTCTTTGACCGCACCATCCTATAAACTTCTTTCGTCTTAACAGGATATAGCTCTGAGTTTATATCTAGCACCATATATGTCACTCCATCTCTTGTCTTTGCTTCAATTCGAGAAACTTTGTCATACTTTTTCCCATCAGCATCCACAGAGACAATCTGGATAATATCATAGAAGACATCTTGACAGAATTTCCCTGGTGCCTGGGGGCTGGGGCGACTAGCGGAGCTAAAGAAGGCAGCCACAAGCTGAGAAATAAGATGGTGAGAAGTCGACAACCACGCAGCAGAGGCGGGGCTGCTGCGGCTGCGGCGGCGGCGGCGTGAGACAAGTGACAAGTGCCGCGTGCGGGGCTGCACTCGCCCCTTGGGCCCAACACTTAGTTCCCTTTATAGGAGTATAATATTGTTGGAATGCACCTAGAAGTTTAATGTTTAATAGGAGTAAAAATGACTTGAGCAAATGGCCCTTACTGAAAGTTTCAATTCTATATTTACAATAAAATACATAAAATAAAATGCGTTATTTTATGAATATTACTATTAATGTTTAAATGATAAAAAAGTGATTAGAAGACAAATATTCCACAAATATGACTATCAAGTAGTTATGATTGAAACGGAAGTTGGAACTTTAAAGGGAACTACAAACGTGAGTTTGAGAGTTTCATGCAAAAAAATAGGAAATAACTTAACTGCTAATTGCTATCCCTACTAATTAGGATCTTAATTTAACAAAAATGACAAATAGTTCTCTTTTCTTCTCTTGGCCTTCAAAAGATTGCATGTCCATTGATTTTTGTATTTATTATCTCAGTGATCATCATAACAATTTTTATTCCACTAATTCCATTATTCCACATACGACATGAAAAAAATATTAATTTGATAACATGCTCCAAGTACATGCAATAATAGAAAATATTCACAGTGACTTATATTTATTATTCCATTATTATAGTGACTATCATATTAAAATTTTCAATGACTAGAGTATAACATGTACATGAAATAATTAATAGAAAATATTCCCTAGAATACAACCAGGGATAGAGACAGTATGTCGCTTTTGTAAGGAATAGTCACTATGTTTTCTTGGGGTTAATATAATTTAGTAGTGACTCAGTATTTTTCATAGTCAATGCTTTTTTGTGAGTTTATGCTTTTTTTGTATGAGGTAATATTAATAGCAACAAAAACTATTTATAATTTATAAAAATGAATAATGTGAAGTAACTATTCCTATTATCTTCAATCCAAGGTAAGGATTGATAAACAATTTAAGGAATAATTTTTGTATTTTTTTTTTTTTAAATCCCGGAAGGCAAACCACCAAAATCAGTGGGGCAAACGCCGGGGAACGTTTGCCGATGTTTTATTAATTAAACAAAGAAATACATGAGAGAGGGGGACCAAGCCAAGGAATAATTTTTGTATCTTTGTTCGTGGGTTTGAATTTATAGTGACTACTAGTTGAATCACTAATTTAGTAGGAAGAGATACTAATGAGGAAAGAGAACACACGTATAATTTAGGAATAATGGGAACGTTTGAAAAAATAAAGGGCTTGTTCTAACAGAGATATTTTCCAATTTTTTGGAAAACTGGAAAAAAGAAAACAGAAAACGTGGTTACTAAAGAAAATTGCTGGAAAACTGGAGAAAGAAAAACAGAGAAATGTGTTTACCAATTCGTTTTCCAAAACAAAAAAATGAGACATGTCTCTGTTTTCTTAATGAATTGGAAAAGTGACTTTTACTAGTTTTTCAAATTTGAAAAACACGGATGTTAAAGGGCCGCTAGCTGCAATGAATTTGCATACTTACACCTAGTGGTGGATACAATCCTGCCCCGGTGTCAGTTCTAGTCCGGTCCGGCTAACAACCCGACGGTCCCTGTCTGGTCTAGTCAATGCCCCGACGCTCCGGACCGGTATTGACCCGGCGGAGCCTGTCAGTCCGGTCTAGGGCTGTTAATGAGTCGAGCCGAGCCCGAACACTCGAGGCTCGAGTTTGGCTCGATAAGGAATTAGTGGTGTTCGGGTTCGAGCTCGAAGCTCGACGAGCTTTACAAATGAGGCTCGTGTTCGACTTGATAGGCGTTCGATGTTCGAACCGAGCATTCGATAAGCTCGATAAGTATGCTCGAATTAAAATTTTAGGTGATGCTCGTGAATAGGCTCTTGCTCGAATGATTCGAGAAGTGTTCGGGTCGTTAATAATCATATTTAAATTCATAAAATCATACTAATTATATTTAAATTTGAATATATATAAATTATATTTATAATTTCAGGGTGTTCGATAGGCTCGAGTTCGAATCGAGCTGAATACTACTATGTTCGATCTCGACTCAATTAATTTTTTGAACTTAAAACTCAGCTGGATTCGAGTTCGAAAGCTCGTTAAGCTCGGCTCGTTAGGTTCGAAACTGAGCTCAAACTCGAATAATTCGATAAAAGCTCGGATCGTTAACAGCCCTAGTCCGGTCGACGACCAAGCAATCCCGATCTGGTCCGGTCGATGACCCGAGAGTCCCAATCCGGTCCGGTCGACGACTTGGCGGTCCTTGTTCGGTTCCGGACTGGTATCGTTCTTTCGTTTTTCTGGTCGGTCACAAAATCGAATAAAAAAGTTTGATGAACATGTTTTCAGATTTGAAATTGAAAACAAAAAATGAAAACAGGAAATTGGAGATAGAAAAACATGAAGATGAAAACAAAAAAAATTGAGAACGGAAAACGGAAATAAAAAACTGGAAAATATTTTAGTTAGTAAACAGGCCAGGCCCTAAATGTGTATATTTCTATTAATTGAAGTCACTTTTAGGATGTTTTCTTTTGGACTAAAATTTGTTGGTCTGGTCTGGTCTCTGTGTATTTTATAACTACAAAAGTATAATCTGGTCTTCTTTGGTCTGATCTGGTCTGGTTTGGGACTGGAAGCAGTCCAGAAAAAAACATCCTTAGTGACCATGTGATCACTAATTTAAATCTAATACTCACTAAATAACTTTTTAACCCGATAATAATTTCACCAATAGTTACTAATTTAGTAGTTACTAACTTCTTCTCAAATTCCGTGTGATAGTGACTCTTCCAATAATCACTAATGATAATAATTTCTGATGGCAATGATTCTGTCCATAGTTACTACAACATTCTTCTGTTAGTGACCCAACACCATGTCATGAGAGCCTCCTCCACCTAAAGTCCATCACAAATTTAGTTAGCAATGACGCCTATGTATTACACATAGTCACTAGATCACTAAATGTAGGAAATCGCTTTCATGGCTGCCTTATCAGTCACTAACACCCCTCTATAGTGATGATCGCCGATCAAAGACAGTGACCCCTATAATTCACCTCTGATGATTTTGTCCATAGTTACTACAACATTCTTCTGTTAGTGACCCAACACCATGTCATGAGAGCCTCCTCCACCTGAAGTCCATCACAAATTTAGTTAGCAATGACGCCTATGTATTACACATAGTCACTAGATCACTAAATGTAGGAAATCGCTTTCATGGCTGCCTTATCAGTCACTAACACCCCTCTATAGTGATTATCGCCGATCAAAGACAGTGACCCCTATAATTCACCTCTGATGTTGTTTCTCCGATGATGAGGTGGTCTGCAAGGGTGGCTATGAATATAGCAGGAGAAGCATGAAATTCGAAGCCTCCAATTACAACAATCTTGATCTCAGAGTTAGCCAAGAACTCACGGTAATTCAGTCGCAAATCCTCAACTCAAAGAGTTCTTGCTGCAGAAACAAGCTGTTGGTCCCGTTTGATTTGGTAATCAGTCTAGAGGGGGGGGGGGGGTGAATAGACTGATTCAAGTTTTTCAACTTTTCTCTAAGTCAGAGTTGACTTATCAGAGAGGGTCGAGTTCTGATGATCAGAACTGGTCTTGCAGCGGATAAGAATTCCGGGTAGCCTCAAACAGATGCTAAGGCAAGTGCCTTTCTGATAACTCTGAGAACAAGATCTGCTGAACACAGATTCCAAGTCTTAGAGTTATACAGTTAAAATCCTAAGTGCAGTATTTAAATTGCTGTAAGGTAAATGACACCGGGGTTTTTATAGTGGTTCAAGGAACAATGCGTTCCTCTAGTCCACTGTTCCACTAGCTTTGAGGTAAACGATTACAAAGCGTAGTCCCTAGCACTTAAGTAGTTCTCCACGCCTACTTCAAGTCTAGTTGTCACCCGGGATGCAGTCCTGCTTCCTGATGACTGGTCCTTTCACTCAGCTTCCCGGAAGTATCACCACTTCACTACTGCAGTTACTTGGACGCCCTTCTTTGCAGAAGTTGTTTTGAAAACAGAGTTTTCTCCAACTTGCTTCGTTACAAAGGATATGTAGTTGAAGTCCTTGAAGGTTGAAGAACAGGACGAACTTTGCTGTGTGTTGGGATTGGAGGATATGGAGATTTGAATCTTCCCAACGTAAGCTTGTCTTGTTGATGATTATGGAGTTTGAATCTCAAGAATGCTTGTAGTATTATGATTGTCGCAAAGTTATCCGGTTGTTCTTCATCGAGTATCTTTTATACTGGGGTTGTCTGCCCGTTGGAGGAGGAGACAACTGCATTAAATGCGCGTACTGTGGATTTGACCGGTTGGACCCGCAGTTTTGGCAGGTTTCTATTTTTGTATAATATTCTCCAGGATTCTCGGTCAATCATCTGCAATTACTCCACAGCGTATCAGGCTCATTAAATGAGCATTGAATGCTTTCCTTGGATGAAATATATTCTAGCCGTTAATGGATTTCCCGGCCGTTGAAGACAGCTTCGAAATCTTCCAAGTGTAAGTCGGAGTCTGATGAGCTTCTCTGATGGCATTCTGATCGTGGGTTCAGATGAACTTAGATGAGGAGCCCTGATACTTCTCTAGAGTTGAATTCTGATGAACATTTTCATCGAACTCTGATGGTTCTCTGATGAGCAGCTCTGATGCTTCTCTGATGGGCAACTCTCATAGTTTCCTGAAAGCAATTCTGACAGCAGTTCTCATGGCAGTTCTGATCTAATCCCAGTAGAGCAGCTCTGATCGACGACTACACTAATACTTACAATTGAAAATTCTATTACACGAGATCTAAATGGGGGTACTCTAAAATTCTAATCTAATTATCATAGCATCATCAAAATCTAATTACATTTATTCCTTACAATTTCCCCCTTTTTGATGATGCCAAAACCCTTGAACTATTTCCAGAGAAGTGCCTTTCACCATAAACCAGAATTCAAAGTTAAAAGCTTTCATTATAAATCTTGGTGGGCACTTGGCATAGGAAAAT